TCAATACGAAGTGCATACTAGATAATATTATAGAAGTACTGGACAGCCCGGGTGGCTCAGCGGTTTGGCGCTGCTTTCGGCCTAGGGCGTGATCCTGGAGACCCGGGATCGAGTCCCACGTCGGGGTCCCTGCAGGGAGCCTGCTTCTCCCTCTGCCTGTGTCTCTGCCTCTCTCTCTCTCTCTCTCTCTGTCTCTCATGAATAAATCAATAAAATCTTTAAAAAAATTATAGAAGTACTGCCAATTTGTTAGTTGCCATTATGAGATGCTGTATAAGACAATGTCTTTTTTTTAAAAGATGGATACTGATATGTTTCAGAGCAAAGAATCAAAAGGTTTATCATTTACTCTTTAAGTGCTTCAACAACAAATACCCCTGTGCACAGAGATGAAGCAAATGCAGTAGGAGTTTACAAATTTTTTTCTTTTTTGGAGTTTACAAATTTAATTCAATATTTGATCTTGGTTAGAACAAAAGTGATTATTTTTGGTTATTATTATTTAAATAATTTAAAACTTTAAAAATTATTTATTTAAAACTTTTGGTTAGCAAAAGTTTAAAAATGGGTGAGATGTCATCTATTTAAATATTATTTAAATATAGCCAGGTTTTTCCTTAATAAAGGGAAACTAGAGTATATTAGGGGAAAAATATAAATAAAGCCTTTGCTCAGTTACCCATCAGAAATAGAATATATTTGAGTGTGTGCTAAACTCAAGATTCCTTCTCTAGAGTGATGGATGATTGATTAATTGAAAGAGAGATTACCCATACATACCACAGTAACTACTCACTAATGCCTATTTTACGTGTGTCACCTCATGTAGTCTGCAGAATAACTATGAGACGGGCACTATTAGCTCCCTCTGCAGACAGAGGGGGTTAGCAGCCCACCTGTTCAGGTGCTTGGAACTAGAGCCCATGCTTGGGTCCAGGTCTACATTTTTCTGCTGAAAAAAATGTCTTGGCAATCTGCAGAGCCCTAACGTTGCTTTAGCCTTTTCTCGCAGTGATAAGAGTTTGAGGCAAGTTTCAGTAATGAACCACCTTGGGGGGGGGGGGGTGATGGCACAGGCCGTGTATGAATTGAGAAACCTAATATGTCAAAGCACTTCACAAGTGAGGGGGAAAAAAAGGGAAGTCAGAGGTGGAATCACTGACTGAAGATCCACAGCTTGAGGCTAAGGTTGGGTTGACTCCCTCCTGAGCTCTTGGCTACAGTGGCCCCTGACCTGACCTGACCTCTTCTAGAGTGAGAAACTGGAAATCCATATACAATTCCAGAACTTGGGGGCATTCTTTGGAAGACAAGAACTGCAAAGTCAAGGACGGTTTTGGGGGATGCTGTAAATGATCCATTCAAAGACCAAGAAGCTTGAGTTCTCCAATTTTGAATGTTTTAAGAAGTTGTGTAGACTCCTCCAACCAAGTTGGGTCCTGCCAATCAGGCTTGAATATCAGTGGAAGTGCCCTTTTTGGAGTCCCACACAAGAGCTAGTGAGAAGTTAGGGCATGGGGGCAGGGCTTTGCCATGGAGAGACCCAGGTTCAGTGAGAAGTGGGAGCCTCCCTCTCACCACAAAGATGGGGGGATGGTCACTGAACTGGAATGACATGGCTTTGTTTATTTTTAAGTTTTCTATTGCTGTGTGACAAATTACCACAACTTAGCAGCTTAAAACAATACCCCTTCATCATTAGCTCATGGTTCTGTAGGCCAGGTGTCTGGAAGGCATGGCTGGGTTTTCTGCTGAGGCTTAGATCAAGGTGTTGGCTATTGTATCTGAAGCCCTGGCCCTCTTCCAAGGTCATTCCTGTTAGTGACAGAAGTCAGTTCCTGGTGGTTATATGACTGAGGTTCCTGCTTCCTTGATAGCTGTCAGCCTGGGGTCACTCTCAGCTGCTAGAGGCTGTGGTCATTGCTCATGTGGGAAAGATGAGGGATTCGGTTTGGGACATGTTGACTTCAGAGGAGGACATGCAAACAGCTGGCAGAAATGAGAGAATTTTTAGTGAATTCAGGAGTTTTCAACTGGAAGTGACTTGGCCCCACAGGGAACAGCTGGCAATGTTATAAGACACATTTAGTTGTCACGCCAGAGGGGACTGCCAGCATCTAGGAATGAGCCACCAGGGACACTGCTAGACATCCTACAGTGCACAGGACAACACAGAATTAGCCAGCCCAGAGTGAGTAGTGCTGAGTCTGAGAAACTGTGAGTTACTGGCTGGTACTTGGCTCCCAGAGCGAGGAGAAGAGGCCTCCCAAAACACAGCCCTAACAGGAGGGCAGGCCAACCCAGAGCCTGAGAAGAAGCCAGGAAAGGGGAGGTAAGTCAGAGAACAGAGGTGAAAAACAGGGCGAAGAAGGGGTGTTGGTTCTGGAAGGCGTCAAGAGCTGCAGAGGGTGAAGCAGTGAGGAATGGAAGTAATCGCTGGATTCCTGGAGTCGGAGGCCACTGGAGACTGTGCCAGAGCAGCTGCCCGTGTGGGCTGAGTGACGAGGCTGTTTTCCAGAGGGGAAGTCAGAGCAACCCCCAGCAGAGGCAGGGGACAAGCAAAGAGAGGGAGCAGCATCTGGAGAGGAACTCGGGCTGAAGACATTAAGATATGTCCTGGGGTGGGGGCTGAGGGGGGGTCACAGAAGGAGGCCCCTGGGAGGCCCCCTGGGAGAAGTGTGGGCCCAAGAACTAGAAGAGTGCACCTCTCACTGGGGGTCCTGCCCCTGGGGCTGGGGTGCTTCCTCACATGGTGCACCTCAGGAGAGAGAGAGACCCACGTGACAAAGAGGGACACTTGTCCCAGATGGTCAGAGGGGAGGAAAACCAGGTGTGGGTGCTGCTGCAGGAGGGGCTTGGAAGTGTGATGGGGGAAGACTGGAGAGACCTATCCTCAAAGGAGGCAGTGGGGTCACTTTTGAGAATAAAGGGGAAGGGGGGCAGGGGTTTGAGGGAGGGAGGGAGTTGTGTTCGGAACCCTAGCGGGGCTGAGGGTGCAGGGGAAGCTGGGTACCCTGGAGATGGAGACTTTTTCCCTATTCTTTCATCCCCTTGAGCTTTTTTTTTCCCCCTCTTGGAAAAATTCTCATCAGAGTTCCATCCAAGTCTGACTCAAGTGTTAAGACATTTCTCCCCCAAATGACTGTACTCCATCTACTGATACTCATTTTATGAGTCCAATCTGTTGAGAGATAGGGAGGCTGAGACAGTAGAGATGGAAGATGGACACTGGGCTCACGAAGCAAAGAACGGTGTTTAAAATATGGGCATTCCTTTTTTTTTTTTTTTTTTTTTAATTTATGACAGTCACAGAGAGAGAGAGAGAGAGGCAGAGACACAGGCAGAGGGAGAAGCAGGCTCCATGCACCGGGAGCCTGACGTGGGATTCGATCCCGGGTCTCCAGGATCGCGCCCTGGGCCAAAGACCGGCGCTAAACCACTGCGCCACCCAGGGATCCCAAATATGGGCATTCCTGCACAAACTGTAGTGATTTTTTTTTTTTACAAAAGCCAAATTGAGAGAAATTACATGAAGCTTCATCTGATTTTCTTAGAAGTCTGAAGCGCACGCGTGTTAAAGACTGACAATATTAACAGAAAGAAAGGCTGTTCAAATTAAAGGGGATTTGGAAAGAACTATCATCTTTTTTTTAAATTCCTTTTCATTGTTAAGAGATGAGCCAAAATGTTCTTTAAAATTCTGTATCTCTGATTTTATTATCCCAGTAAAGCAGTTCACCGCGATCACATTAATGCTTCTTCCCAAATCACAGTGTTACTCCACTAGGATAAGTGTCTTGTACGTTCAGAGCCTTGGGTGATCAGACCCCCTCCCACCCCCCCCCCCACCCCCCCAGGGAGGAGCAGAAGCTTCCTGACTCTGCAGAAGCTACACACCCACATCTGCTGCTGGAACAAAGGGAAGGACCCAAGGTCCTGTGGATGCGGGCTGTGCTGGGACGCCCACCGCGTGGCTGCGCTTCTGACCCTGATGCTCCGTCTCCACTGCTCCTGTGGTTCGGGTCCTGATGGAGCTGTGTGGCTTCCGAGGTGCCCCGGCCTCACGAAGCCTGGTTTCTGGAAAGCTGCCTCCTAACCAGCAGTCTTTTCAAACGTCAGGTGTGGAAACCTGCTTAGACTTCCAGCAAACTAAGGATCCTTAGGGAGGGCGGGAGGGGTGCACGGGAGCGCAGACACAGTTTGCTTCAGAACGAACACATCTGAGTCATGCTCGCAGCCACGGTGGCTGATGGCAAGACTTTTTCTTTAAGATGCTGTTACCAAAAGCTTGTCGCCTCCACAGAGAGCAGCACGTGTTTAAAACTGTGAGGACATGCTGAAAACCGCTTAGCCGACAGGCAGATGGTTCTGGCTGCTGTTATGAGAGAAGGAAGAAAAAGCAGGTACTGTCTTCCCCCCTGAGTACAGCCCCCGCCCCCAGGCTGTCCTGGGAGCGATGGGGGTGGGGAGAGCTTCTGAAAGGTACCTGGGATCCTACAACAATTGGAAATCTTTAGGGAAGGGAGAGAGGGGCAGGCGGGTACAAGCTGGCCGAAGAGCTGGCCTCTACCTTCTAGAAGCTCAGAACCACGGCCTGAACCACCCCCTGAACTGCCTTGAGGTCTCCTACCACTTCTTAGGGGCCATTCCTTTTAAGGGGAGAGGCCTATGTTGCAATGGAGGGGCTCTCCCTTCTGCCCTTAAATCGTTCCACAAATTGGCGGTTTTACATAAAATTTAAAATCACAATTTAAGAGGCCTAAGGCCACACCAACAGTGTGACCCAAGATGAGACCCTTAAATCCTAAATCCAAATCTTTCCCTCCCTCCTCCAATCCTTAACCCCAACCCATCGCCCTCCTCCTCTTCCTCCTCCTCCTCCTCCTCCTCCCCACCACCAAAGAGGAGAGGAGGCGGGCTGTAGGATTGAAACTTGGGTCCCTTAAATGAATTTAAATATATTTGCTTTGTCGTTCCACAGACCCAGGGCGAAACCCGTTTCAAGGAGACTGGCTCTGCTGCAGCAGGCGCTGGTTTTCGAAGGGATGGGGCCCGGCTCCTATCTCGGAACCTCGATCCGCGGAGACTTTTCCCGTCTCCGCGCGCTGGCAGGTGGCAGGAACTCGGGGGTCCTGGATGCTGGCGCTCTTCCCAGGCACCCAGCCCCGTGGTGCCAGGCGCACCGGGCGGGGGGGTGGGCGGGAGCCCGGAGAGCCGGCGGGGAGCGGGGAGGCCGCGAGCGGGGAGGCTGGGGGAGCCAGAGGGAGCCGGAGGCAGCGGGAGAACCGCGCGGGCGCGCTCGGAGTCCCGGGACGGCCAGGGGAGGGTTTCGCTAATCCCTGCACCCCGCGGCGCCAATAAGCCAGGCGCGGTTTCTGCAAAAAAAAAAAAAAAAAAAAAAAAAAAAAAAAAAAGGCTTCCCGGGACAGCTGGGGAGGCTGGAGCTTCCAGCCTGTCTCAGGGGTCCGGCCCGCCTCCGCGCACTGATTGAGCGGGGACCCCGTAGGCCTCCAGCGCCACTGTCTCGGCCCAGCCAGGCCTGGCCCCGGTCGCTCGCGTCCTTCCCCGCGCTGCCTCGCCTCGTGGCCGCAGCGCATCGACATCCGTGGGCCTCATCGCGACTCCTCCCCGTCTGCGGAGCGCGCACGGGGGGATGAGACATTCCGCAAAGGCAGGGTCCCCCAAGGGCGAGCAAGGTGCCGTGCGTCCCACTGGGGGCCTGCGGGAGACGTGGCACCTGCGCGAGGAGGTCCAGGGCAGCAGGGCAGCCGGGACTTCGGGGCCCTAGAGGCCAGATGAGGCCGGGACCGGTGAGATTCCCGCGGACGCCGGTCCGGGGCGCAGGACGCATCGAGGGCTGGAATCCCCGGGGCGGCGTCTCCGGAGTGCGCCGGGGCCGGGGCCGGGGCGGGGCGGAAAGAGGACCCTGGGGCGGGGATCCAGACGGCACTCGGGGCCTCGCAGTCGGGGGGAGGGGGCTCGTCACCGCGGGCACCGGGGCGAGGGCCGCCGACCGCATTTAAAGGGCGGAGGGCGGGGCCCGGGAGCTGCCGGCGGCGGGGCTGGACGGGGCGCGCAGGAGCTTCGGCGCAGAGCCTCCCGGCCCGGCCCGGGACCGGCTGGACATGGCCTCGTACTGCGACGGCTCCGGGGTCTGCCCCGGCGCGCACAGCCAGGCCCGGGCCGCCGCGCCCCCGGCGCCCTACGCGCGCGGGGACCTGGGCGCCCCCGGCGCGGCGCAGCGCCTGTGGCTGGACGCGCCCGCTCTGGGCCCCGCGCCCTGCGCGCCCTGCCCGGGGGCGCCGGCCCTCGCCGGCCCTGGCTACGCGGCCCCCGGCGCGCTCCTCGGCGCCCCGGGCGGCCTGGCGGGCGCCGACCTGGCGTGGCTGAGCCTGTCGGGCCCGCAGGAGCTGCTGCGCCTGGTGCGGCCGCCCTACTCGTACTCGGCGCTCATCGCCATGGCCATCCAGAGCGCGCCGCGGCGCAGGCTGACGCTCAGCCAGATCTACCAGTACGTGGCCGGCAACTTCCCCTTCTACAAGCGCAGCAAGGCCGGCTGGCAGAACTCCATCCGCCACAACCTGTCGCTCAACGACTGCTTCAAGAAGGTGCCCCGCGAGGAGGACGACCCAGGTGAAAGAGGGCGCGCCCCCGACGGCCGGGGCCGCACCCCGCGGACTCCCGCAGCGCGGCTGCTGCTGGCGCGCGAGCATGGGGGGGCCCGGGGCATCCCAGCTGCACGGCCCAGCTGGAGAGGAGCGGGGCGGGGGGGGGGCAGACAGGCTCCTAGACGACCCCCGGGTCGCGCGGGCCCCAACTTCGGGCCTAGCGCTCTGTGGGTCTCGAACCCCCTGTGCGCTCCCGCGGAGGACGAGCTGGATCGGCCTTGGGGGGCGCGTCTCCGGGTTTCGGGGTCCTTTGCTGTAAAACGGGGAGGACGGTGCCCACCCCAGAATTGGGAAGTAAGGGGACAGCCCGGGTGGCTCAGCGGTTTAGCGCCGCCTGCAACCCAGGGCCTGATCCTGGAGACCCTGGATCGAGTCCCGCGTCGGGCTCCCGGCATGGAGCCTGCTTCTCCCTCTGCCTGTGTCTCTGCCTCTCTCTGTCTGTCTTTCATGAGTAAATAAATAATACAGTCTTTATTTAAAAAAAAAAAAAAGGTAAGTAAGGCCGAAGAGATGCCGCTTGCTCGGGGAAGCGCGGGACACCACGCAGAGGCCCAGCTGGCTCTGCAACCCGGGGGCTGCTGCTTTCTCCCTGGCCTTGAACTTAGGGGGGCTCGGGATGCCTCGGTGGGCGCCCTTCCCGGCCTTTCTCGGATGTAGCTGTTCGTCCCAGTCCCAGGCACAGACCTCGAGGCGTGGGGGACGAGGTGGGGGACGAGGACGGATGGAGGGAGCGCGGGGGGGATCTTCTCGAGGTTGACCTGCTCTGAGCTGCGCCCTCTCTTTACCTGCGCAGGTAAAGGCAACTACTGGACCCTAGACCCCAACTGCGAGAAGATGTTCGACAACGGGAATTTCCGACGGAAGAGGAAGAGGAGAGGAGAGGTGGGCGCCGCTGGGTCGGGAGCGCGCAGCCCCGGGGGAGCCAGGGCGCCCGAGCTGCAGCCCCTGGGCGCCCCCTCCCCGGACCCGCGGGCCCCGCCGTCCCCGCCCGACGCCGCCTGCTTCTCCAGCTTCGCCTCGGCCATGGGGGCCCTGGCTGGCGGCCTCGGCAGCTTCCCCGCCGGCCTGGCCGGAGACTTCTCCTTCGGGAGACCCGCGGCCCCCGGCCCCGCACCCGGCCTCGGCGCCGGCCCGCAGGCAGCGGCCGCCGGCTTCCGCCTGGGCCCCTTGGTCTACAGTCGGGAGGGGACCGAAGTCTGAGCGGACGCGGGGATGGCCCAGTGTCGTCCGGAGGACCTGAGCTGCAGCCCGGTTCCCGCCCGCGTGGCGCCCGCGGAGTCGGGGCCGGGCCGGGGCCGCGCGGGGAGCGCAGACGGGCGGGGCGCGCACCTGTCGTGCCTCCCTCCCCCAGGGGACCCTTCCGAGGAGCCCTGCTCCAGCTGTTGGGCCTCCAGCCTGTGCTCTGACCCGGAGCCGCGCCGTCCAGGGGTGACAGGCTGGCACCCTGCCCCCGCTTTGTCGAGGGGAGCCTGGCCCACCCCAAGAGACTTCTAGGTACTTGTGGGAGGGCAGCCGGGGTGCTACCTGTGGCCCGTTTCCTCCTCCAGGCCAGCCTGGGCCACCTGGAGGCTCTGGGTCTTCCCTGGGTGCTCCAGGGAGGTGGGGAGTGGGGGTGAACGGCAGCCCCGAGGGGCGGATGGCTTCTCTTCACCCTGACCAGAGTGTGGCCCAGGGGGTTCTGGGACTACTGGGACTGGGCCAGGTGTAAGAGGGACTTCCTAGTGGTGGTGAGGAGGGCGGAGGGCTGCCAGAGGCCAGGGGGCAGCAGCTCCTTTCCTTGTCCTCCCCTGGCCCTTACTAACCTCCTCCTAGGACCAGGAGCCTCAGGTGGCCACGGCAGCAGTGCCTACCACCCACACTCACAGGATGGGTTCGGCTTTGCTCCCTACCCAACTCACACACCCCACTCACTCTTGCTCCTCACCCCGCCCCCACCCCTAGTTTGGGCCCCTGCTGCCCCCGCATGCAGAGGGAAGCAGCAGCCTCCAGGTACATGTAAGCCTCTCTCCTCGTTTGTATCTACCCAGAAGGTCCTCTTTGGACCCCATGGCCATTGGGAGGGAAAGGGTGGCCCTGGTACCAGACTTAGGCTGTCTCGTAGTCTCTGGTCACCTAGGGGCACCAGTCATTTCAGAGAGCCTCCTGGTGCTGCAGGTGCTCCGTGTGCTCACCCACCTTCCCCGCACCCGGGGACCCGGGAGACGCACCTTCCCTGAGGGAGGACAGGGACAGAGGAGTTGGAGCAGAGCGGATTAGGGCGCTAGCCAGAGCCCCTGCCTCCACCCCTGGTAGGTTTTCCGTGCTTGGTTCCGAATCCCAGTGCTGCTGCTGCTGCTGCTGGAAGGGAGGGCTGCCCTGTGTCAGTTCCCCGAGTTGACCAGCAGTGGCCCTGATGAACACTAGTGTGTGTGTGTGTGTGTGTGTGTGTGTGTGTGTGTGTGTGTGAGAGAGAGAGAGAGAGAGAGAGAGATGGATGGGAGAGAAGGAGGGAGGGAGAGACAGAAGAGGTTGGAGGTTGGAGACCAGGATAGGACAACCAAGAGTTGGGTGAATTTGGATCCTGGGGCGTGTGTCACTGAGCCTTCCTGGTGGCAGCCACAAACTCACTAACTCCTCAGCATCGCAAGGCATCTTGCTGCTGGCCAGGCAGCCCGAGGAAGGCAGCGTGCTGGTTCTGTTTGCGATACCATGTTGCCCAGCCAGACTTACAGGCAACGTCAAATCTCTCTTGGAGAAACACTGCCCAAGTGTAAGATAATGCAAGAAGGCCAAAAAAGAGAAAGAAAACCCTTCCCTTATAAATCGAAGAATTTTATCTCAAGCCTGTTTTAATAAACTATGATGTTAAAAAGAAACATCAATACCTGGAGCTTGAATGTACATGCTGTTTTATATATGAGAAGAGTTCCAGCAGTGTTCTTCAACGTCCCCACCGGAGACTCCGAGTTTGCAGGAAACTTAGAAAGAAAGAATTAAAAAAAAAAAAAAAAAAGTTTGACAACATTGGGAAAATACAATGTACAATCTGACAATCAATGGAGCTTTCAGAAAATTGATAAATGTGTATATAAACGTCGTTATATTATACCTCAGTACGTGATGGCTAGAAATTGGTGCAAAGCTGGTCATTTTCCTTCCAACAGTGGTTTCCTGTTAAAAATGAGAAAAAAAAACAAAACTTTTCAAAAATATTTATCAGTTTTTGGTTTGTTTCACTAAAAATCAGTTTTGGGTCTTTAAAAACTGTTCATCTGTTCAAGCTTTATAAGCTTAATATGTAATTGTGTAATCAAACAGAGGGAATCTTCCTGACAAATGCATAATTAAAAATAATTCTAGCCGGGTGGGGCGTTTAGAAATCAGAGTCCATCTCTCCTCCGTGACGGTCCATGTGTCTGGATGTATTTGCACAATGGGTGTGGGGTGGGGGTGTGGGGAGGAGCAGCCCAAATGCAGTCCCTGGGCCCTGGCACAGTCAGCTTGAGGGGCCACTTATTATCCCAAAGAGATGTTTTCCCAGAGAAAGGAAACTGTGCTGAAATCACAATAAATAAACAGCAAAGCAGCTTGTAATCAGTTTATAATTAAATCCTTTCTTCGGTCAGGACTCACTGAACTTGACCATAGTTCTAAAAACAAGCTGCCCACGGGCTGCTCAAGGGCCATTCCCTGTTCCTTAGATGGGGAGCAGCTACCAGGAGGCCAGGAGAACCCCCTCACCTTTGGACTTAGAGCCCTGTCACGGCGCTCAGGCCCCATCTTCTCCACCTCTCTGCCCCTTTGGTCTTCAAAGTAACAAAGCCTATGGAAATTTCCAAAATATTCTTTTAAATAACTGTAAGCCTTTACAAAAGGAGTGCCTTGCATGATGTTACAGGACCATGATGGTATGTCCTCGGAATACTTTGTTCTTCGTTTGAACAAACATTTCGGTCGTGCCGAATAATTTAAAAATAAAAACAATGTGTTTCAAATTTCAGAAGGGAAAGACAATTAAAATGGCCATCATATCACATTATTGGGAGTTTTTACCATTGCCAAACTGTAGTGGAAGTTTTCTCATTGAAAACCAAAGAGCGGGGATCCCTGGGTGGCGCAGCGGTTTGGCTCCTGCCTTTGGCCCAGGGCGCGATCCTGGAGACCCGGGATCGAATCCCGCATCGGGCTCCCGGTGCATGGAGCCTGCTTCTCCCTCTGCCTATGTCTGTGCCTCTCTCTCTCTCTCTCTCTCTCTGTGTGTGACTATCATAAATAAATAAAAATTAAAATAATCTTAAAAAAAATTAAAAAAAAAGAAAACCAAAGAGCACAATAAAATATATTGTAATCCCCACAGCCCCCCAAACATATTAGTCATGGATAAACAGGAATCCCCAAAGAACGATCTGTGATGAAAATTCAAAAATATGTTAAAAGTATTTTTTAAAGTGTAGTGACTAGTGCTTTAAAAGGTGAGCACTGGATTTCAAGATAGGGGTTTACATTTCACATATTAGTTAAACCTGGAGTTCGTTTATTTATGATGGGCGGAAGTTTTGCACGTTAGCAACGCTGCCCTGGGATGTATATGTTCAACTCTGAATATTTTAATTTCCTAAGTGTACCTACTGCGATCAAGTGGCATTTTTCACTCAGGGAAATAACATTACAGTAATTATAAGAACTCTTCAGGGAAGCAGAAAACTGAAGTTCTTCGCCATTCTGCTGAGAGAAAAGCTGAGTCAATGGGCTAAGTGATCTCCAGAAGCTCATCTAATGAGAGCTAGAAAGGACTCCTGATAGACATGCAATCTTCCGATGGCCCATACTCAGAAATGCACCTGCGAATGCCATATTCCCACACACACACACATCACAGTGTCACGCTGTGCCTGGGATTCTCATGAGAAAAGCAGTGGATGACAGTACTGACCCCTGATACGCAAGGGCCTAGTATTTTCAAATTGAGACTGTGAGAATGTCACATTTGCATTGAGGATTTGACTTCAGATGGAGAGGACTGCGTGCGAATATCACAGAATGCAGCAGAGGTCAAGTTGCGTATATCCTAATAAAATGCCGGGCTTTCAGGAAATCTTTTCAGGTGCCAGATACGCACTGGGCTTGGTGTTCATCCCTGCGGCGAATTGCCTGGGCTCGTTGCTGTTTTCCTAGGACCTCTTTGCAGTGGGCGAGACAGAGATGAAGGAGCAATTATCGCCTGAATCTTGGTTATTTGGCTCCAAAATGATGATTTTATGATCAAGTCAGTAGGGCGGGGATCCCTGGGTGGCGCAGCGGTTTGGAGCCTGCCTTTGGCCCGGGGCGCGATCCTGGAGACCCGGGATCGAATCCCACGTCGGGCTCCCGGTGCATGGAGCCTGCTTCTCCCTCTGCCTGTGTCTCTGCCTCTCTCTCTCTCTCTGTGTGACTATCATAAAAAAAAAAAAAAAAAAAAAATTAAAAAAAAAAAAAGTCAGTAGGGCGTTTCATTTGTGAACACACCATTAGTGCATTTTGTCTTTAAATACACCTCACAGTGTTTCCCACACTCGGCTAACTCAGGATATGTTTGTTTGATTTCTCAGCTTTATAACTCCATTGTGATTAAGGCCAGGGGTCGAGCCCTGCCCCGGGCTGGAGCCAGTCCAGTCCTCTCCCTTCTCCGCAGCATCATTCAGGAACCTTCACATAAAACCTGTCGTCTTACTAGAAGATCTATCGTCTGATAGTGACAGGAGAGAGCAACTGTGACCAGAGCTGGTCCTTCCTCAGGGCTCCCGGGTACGAATTCCTTTTGTGCACCTCTGCATCCATTAGTTGAAATTTGGGGAACTCTTTCTCTTCTAATTTAATATAAAATTTGTTAAACAACATTATTCAAGGCAAACTGCCTGGCACCTGCAATAAATTGACTTATTTCTTTGATCAGTTGTCATCAGTGGCTGAACACAAAGAATGTGAAATATTTTTAGTTTCACTCAACTCACAGAGGGTAAGTGAATAGTATATCAAATTGGATTTTCATTTAAAAAAATCAGAATTGTATCCCCGCCTTAACATTGAGCAAGTTGAACTGATGAGTCATTAAGGCTTTCTCTACCCCTGAGAATCCCCCATCCATCCATCCATCCATCAGTCATCGATTGAACATCAAGGTGACAAGGATTCTGTTAGCTGCTTAATGGTCATTATCTCATGAGGCCCCCACAGCCACTCAGTGAGGCAAATTATTACCCCCATTTTACTGATACAGAAACTGACCCATTAAGCTGCTTATCTCCCCAAGGCTGCAGATAATACTGAGTGATGTCAGCGGGAACCTGCCTACTCTCTGCCCCTGACTTTGCTGCCTTCCACTTCATCTCTGAGGTTCCAAAAGGATCTCACTTTTCAGAAATCTTTCCCTGGCATCCAAAGTCAAAGTTTGGTATCCTTCTGTTCTGCTTCTGTAGCTCCTGGATGGTCTACATCACTCTTCCCCCCACCCCAGATTGTTGTCCATGTGGGGAGCAGCCTGCCTGCTTTATTTCACAGTAATATCCCCAGTGTAGACACCCAGATAGTACCAGTTGAATGAATGAATGAATGAATGAATGAATGAGTGAATGAGTGTGTGAGTGTAGTTGTACCCTAAGCTTTCCATACACTCTCCATCCCATCATAGGACTCCCCCCACAACCAGTGTCCCCTATGATGGGCCAGATTCCCCCATACATAGGGTCAGGTCTTTTTCTGGACCCTCCAGATATAACAATGACTGAATCAGGGTGGTGGGGACAACTGCCATTATGCAGAGTGAGCTGTGTGGGAGGGCTGTGTGCAGAGGAGGCTGGAGCTGGAGGTTGGGGGGTAGGAAATTCAGATGCCAATTAAGTTTGGTTAGTTAGTCCACATGAGCTTCACGTTTGGATTTTGAAAGCCATCAGAACAACACAAATGATGTTCCAGATAATGAGGCCAATACTTGGTGGCCACTTCTTGATGACAGGTTAACCACACAGTCCTTAATCTAAGGGATGATTCCATATTTGCCAGTGATGCCTGTGCATTTTCTAGGCCTCTTCTCCCTTCCACCTCTGCTCTCTTCAGAGGTAAGTCCCCTTGTCCAGAACGAGGCTTAGCTCTCAAGGTGGCAGGAAGAATTTGAGGACAGGAATTGTGTCATGCTTCTGAGTTTCTTCCACAGGGTCTGGGCTTAATAAGACTTAACAATGGGGAGAGGTAAAGAATGTGTGTGCAATAGATAATTTTCACTACCTACTCCTGGAAGATCTTAGAGGTCGACCTGTCTCCTGGCCCCTGATCCATTGCAGTAATCCATCACTGTGGCTGGCCTGCACGTGTGCATGCACCAGCGGTTTGGCTCTGCCTAAGGCGCACATTAACTTCTGCACCTGAACCAAACAACCTGCTGCTTTGACTGGACCTCACTTTGCTGGGTCTACTTTACTCCAGGAAGCCCGAGGGCAGGTTGGTGTACAGGAAGATGGACTTCAGGAGTGAGCAGAATTAATACTTTAATGAAAGGTTTCTGTTTCAGGATTCTTGAAAAGTATGGTGCTTAATTCTTTATGCTTTTTTTTTTTTTTTTGTAATCCTGAGTGGAACAGGACTGCTTCATTGCTTTATTTACATCACCTCCCACCTCCTTTGATTTTTTTAATTTTTAAATTCCTGCTGAAAAGAATAATCACATAATATTTAATTGGGGAATATTAAAAATTGATCACATTAAACAGAATAGCATAACAAAAGAAATATAAAAAAGGAAGGGAAAATGTTCAGTCATTTGTTATAAAATTCTTTTTTTTTAATTTTTATTTATTTATGATAGTCACAGAGAGAGAAAGAGAGAGAGGCAGAGACATAGGCAGAGGGAGAAGCAGGCTCCATGCACCGGGAGCCCGATGTGGGATTCGATCCAGGGTCTCCAGGATTGCGCTCTGGGCCAAAGGCAAGCGCCAAACCGCTGTGCCACCCAGGGATCCCTAAAATTCTTTCTTTTATTGAGATATAATTGATATGCAACTATGTCAGTCTCAGGTGTACAGCATCATGATTCAATAGTTGTGTATATTGTGAAATGATCAACACAAGAAGTCTGGTTACCATCCATCCCCTCACATAGTTAACAAACATTTTTCTCTTGTGATGAGAACTTTTAAGACCTACTTTCTTAGCAACTTTCAAATATACAATACAGTATTATTAACTACAGTCATCATACTGTACAGTACATCCACGTAACTTATTTTATAGCTGGGAGTTTGTACTTTTTAACTCCCCTTTATGCAATTCTTAAGAGATTTATTGTCCCTAAACTTTTTGGGGGGATCATTTACTATTGCTTTATTTTTTTCTGCTATGTCCTGGTTGGTATCTATAACCAATGAAAGATATGTAAGAAACATATGAAATAT